TTATCTTTATTTGAAGTTATAATTATCTCTTTTATAATTGTTCATCGTTAATTGAGGCTATGATTATCTTTCTGCTGTTTATCCCTAATTGAAATTATTGTATCTCTTTCTTAATTGCCAATCTTAAAAGAAGTTAGATATCCTATATTTTAGTTGACTTGCTCTTATTTGGAATTATTCATTTTGTTTTAGCTCCCTCGTTGTCGAACTCTACATTGTGGACCGTTGTTACATAATATTTCCTTTCTTGTTGAGTTGTTCTTATTATGACTAGCATTCTCTATTGTTGCTACTCCTTGTGAATTAGCTCCTCTGTTTCCTTGAGTTCTGGAATTTCTGAGTTGACTTATTTGTCGTACCATTGTATTATTGTCATTATTGCTGTTGTATTAATTGTGCTATTGTGATTCACGAGGTTTCTGCCGTGCGGTTGTTGTTATGGGGTTGCACAAGGTTTCNATATGTGGGTTGCGCATATGGCGAGACAAGGTGGGAACATTGTTATGCACGTGTGGCGAGACAAAGCGGGCACTTAATTTATTATTGCACACATGGCGAGACAAGGTGGGCTGTATCAGGGATTGATTTGTGATGATTTGTGATAGCTTGGGGGAATTCTTGTTGTTGATATTTTTGTAGTGGTAGCATTACCAGTGTGAGTTTTATCTTGTTAAAGCTGTGAGAAAATATTCTACGTGTTATCCGTTGTTTTTTCTTATGCTTATTTGTTGGTATGGACTACGTTAGGACACTTGCACAAGCATACACGTAGTTAAGCACTCTTATCGATGTTCTTTATATTGTTGAGCATAGATGCTCACCCTTCTTTACTTTCCTTCTATGTGAGAATGGATCTATTGGCACGTGAGTCGTCAGCATAGATGCTCACCCTTGTTCAAGTATTGAGACCCGTGAGTTATGATTTATCCGAAGTTCTGTACCTCGTGGAGTTTGATGACTAAAACCTGATGTAAAAGCGGCTGTAGTTGCTGAGCTATTACTTGTCCTTGCTGTATTTGTGATTCTGGATTTAGGTTGTGTTCCATTCACTTTTCTGTGTCATTTTTATGGTATTTCGCCGATACTTATTGTTTCCTTTCTTATTGCCATTACTGCATTGTGAGCCATATTGCATAGTCTTTATGTAGATATCATATTTTTGTTGTTCATATACTTATAATTGTTCAGTTTATTAGACCAGTAGGTGTCTGGACTGTTCCTCATCACTACTCTACCGAGGTTAGTCTTGATACTTACTGGGCACCGATGTGGTGTGCTCATTCTACACTTCTGCACATTTTTGTGCAGATCCAGGTATTTGTTCGTTAGCAGCTGTGCGGGTCATTTTTTTGGAGACTCAAGGTAAACCTGCTGCTGCGTTCACAGGCTTCAGAGTCACCTTCAAGTTTTCATTTTGCACGGTTTATTCTTATTTCTGAATAGTTATATTTAGAAATTTGTAGCAAACTCTATAGAGCTTATGACTTGTACTACCGGTTTTGGGAATTGTAAATTATAAGAGAATTCTATTTCAAATTGGCAGATGTTATTTAAAAAAAATATTGTTGTTTCAATTAATGTTAGGCTTACCTAGTCCCTAAGACTAGATGCCATCACGATACCCAAACGGAGGGGAAATTGGGTCGTGACAAGTTGGTATCAAAGCTCTAGGTTCGTAGGTGCTACGAGTCATAAGCGAGTTTAATAGAGTTTTGCGGATCGGTGCGGAGACGTCTGTACTTATCTTCGAGAGGCTACGGAACTATTAGGACAGTTTTACTTCCTTCATTCCTATCATGCGAGTTCATTGATCTTGAAGTTTGAACTTTTATCATTCCATTCTCTCACATATGGTGAGGACACGAGCTGCAGTTCCTGATGACGTTACCCCCGGAGCAGATGTCGCTAGGGGCAGAGGTAGAGGCCGACAAGGAGCACGTGGCGCAGTTAGGGCACCTACCAGAGCGGCAGCGGAGGAGCCGCCAGTAGTTCCAGTTGGGAGGCAGGTACCGGAGGTGCCTGCTGTTACCCCCAGACTTCAGGAGAACTTAGCACAGTTCCTGAGTATGTTTGGTACATTTGCTTAGGCGGGGTTGATTCCGGTTGCTCCAACTACTTCACAGACCAGTAGAGGGACCCAAACTCCTGCCGCCCACACTCCAGAGCAGTGAGTTCATATTGGTCAGGTTCCAGGTGTCATGGCGACACAGCCTGTGGTTCTAGTTTAGCCCGTGATCAGGGCAACAGCATCTGAGGAAGAGCAGCTTAGACTTGCAAGGTTAAAGAAATATGACCCTCGTACATTCAGTGGTTTGGCTTCAGAGAGTGCACATGGTTTTCTGGAGGAGTGTCATCGCATTCTCCGCACTATGGGAATTGTTGAGACAAATGGGGTAGCTTTTACTACGTTCCAGCTTAAAAGAATGGCTTATCAGCGGTGGCGGGCGTATGAGTTGGGTAGCCCGGCCGAGTTAGCTTCACTTACATGGGTTCAGTTTTCAGAGATATTCTTGAGAGAGTTTGTACCTCAGTCCCTTCGGGATGCATGGTAGGCGGAGTTTGAGCAGCTGCGCCAGGGCACTATGTCAGTATCAGAGTATGTCATTAGGTTCAGTGATTTTTCCAGACACGCACCTGCTTTGGTCGCCACAATCAGAGAGCATGTCTGTAGATTCATTAAGGGACTCAGGCATGATATTCGATTCAACATGACTCGGGAGTTAGAGTCAGATGTTTCATTTCAGCAGGTGGTAGGGATCACTCACCGTGTAGAGGACATGTGGGATCAGGAGAGTGAGGACAGGGAGGCGAGGAGGCCTCGTAGACCGGAGAGATCTACTAGTCCTTATTTTTGAGGCAGGGTACGACATGGTAGAAGTTTTGTAGGTCAGCCTGTTCAGTTTGCACTTCAGGCTTCGCACAGTATTTCAGGTGTTCATAGGTCTCAGAGTACTCGTATGGCACAGTTCCCACAGTCACGTCAACAGAGAGGTTGCTTCGAGTGTGTAGATACCAGCCACAGAGTGAGAGATTGTCCTAGACTCCAGACATGTATGTCATAACAGAGTATTCAGGCGAGTAGAGGGCGCCCAAGAGGGGAAGGCCCGTCCCGTTGATGTTTTTCATATAGTAGATTTGAGGCCACTACGCCAGATGTTGTCATACATGTATGCTTTTAAATTGTTACAGAGGGGCATCATTCGTATTTTGATTCGATTCTGCTTATCGGGGCGAGTTCCCATATTTGTTGTTCCACTTATGGGTGAGTTCATAACTTAGTATTCTGTATATGTATTTGCCCCTGTTGGGAAACTCTATGAGCGGTAGCCCTTGTCTATCATTTGTTTCTATTTATTATTGAGAGTTTCGAGGTTAGAAGTGAATTCATGTTGTCTATTATGGCAGGTTTAATGTGATTCCTGAGTAATTGGGTTACAATTTGTGATTTGATACTCTACCAGGGTGAGAGTTCAGTAAGTATTGTGATTTTATTGGCAGAATAGAGTTAGTGGAAGATTTCCATTGGTATGATGTGTATTCGACTTGTGATTCAGAGGTGAGGGTGAGACCCTCGCGATTCCATGTGAATTGATATGTTTGAGCCCGGCTGCGTGCCGCGGTGGAAGTTATATCAGGATGGGATTCTTGTGGTTTGTTCATATACTTTGATTTTTCCTATTTAAATTAATTTGTAGTATGGTACTATCAGAGAGTTGTGCCTGTCGGGCTTGTTTGATATTTCTCTTATGTGTTTCTCTTTACGTATTCAGTCATTTTCGTTATGTGCTTCTTAAGTTTTAGCTTGCGGGGTGTGTTCCAGGTGGTGTCAGTTGTGACTTGTTGATTCGGGTGTATAGTTAAGAGGTCTTTATTTTTCTTGCATCGTCGTTAGTGTTATGGAGGTTTGAAACAGGGTTCTAACGGATATGAGGCTAATTATCGGTGCTGGTTTTGATTAAGGGTAGCTATTATGATCAGAAATGTTATTATGGGCCTATGTGTGATGTGTCATGTTGTGTGGTCTTACCTTGTGGGTGTGGGCATGAGTTGTTACAGCTGGTTGAGACTGATACCGGTTATGGATTTAGAATTGGGTCTTTTGAAGATAAATGGGAGGTGAGAATTTTGACTCTAAGGCTTATCGGTGTTGGTAGAAAGGGTGAATTACAGTTGAGATGGTGTCGTCAGGCTTATGTGGGTTGGGGTGATGTGGGGTCACCCGCGGGTGTATGTTGGATATGTGCATTCAGTGATTTGAAGACTTCGAGGCGATTCTTGGCACGTTCGAGGACGAATGTTTGTTTAAGAGGGAAAGGATGTAACGACCCGGCCGGTCATTTTGAGAATTTAAGTCTCGTTCGAGCATAAGGCCCTGAGCGGCTTCGTATTATATTTATTGACTTGTGTGCGTAGTTGAATTCAGTTACCGGATAATTCGGAGTGATTTGGGACACTTAGTCCCTAACACGAAAGCTTAAGTCTTAGGATTTTGACCGTAGTCGGAACCAGTGGCGGACCCAGGATTTTTATCAAGCGGGTTCAAAATGCAAAGAAGCAAATATACAAAGAGGTCAACAAAAACTATATATTATTAAAATATATTATTACAACTGTCCTCTATGAGTTTTCATTTCCTGAAGCGTATTCATAATAGTCTCATCAGAAATGGTGCTAAATATTTTTCTTTCTACATAAGGTACCAAACAACCGCTCATGAATTCATCATTCATTCGGTTTCGCAACTCACTCTTGATCAACTTCATCACCGAGAAAGTTCTTTCAACTGTAGCAATGGCAACTGGTAGAAGCAAAGAAAATTTCACAAGGTGAAATACAAATGGATAATTCAAATGCTTCTTTGTCTTAACTAGTGTTTCAGAAAGATCAACAAGTCCTTGTAGATTTGAGAACCTTTCATCAACATCATGAACATCAACAAAATAAGTTTCAAGTTGATTCTTGAGTGTAACCATTATATTCTCATCAAAATCGTCAGGATATTATTCAGTCATCATCAATATCTTGTTTATGTCAAAACTGGAAAATGAATCAACTGGATTTAAGCAAGCTACTCCAACAAGCAAGTTCGTTGTCACCTCATTAAAACGAGCATTGAGTTCTTGAACTTGCCAATCAATAATCTTAAAAAATATATCAACATGATAGTGATATAAAATAGTATAATCAGCAACTTTACGTCGAGATCTTCCGGGGTTAACATAGAAGTCATCAAAGTTTGATATCAAAATATTATACTTGACACAAAATGCAGACACCTTATCAATAAGTGAATCACATTCTTCTTCTCTTAGCTTTTGCAACCTCTTCTTTGCCACTTCACCAAGTAGAATAGCATTTGCAATATCTTGCTTCTTTTTTTGTAAGGATGTATTAAGCTCAATTATGATCCTCGAAACATCTCTCATTAGGTGCAACATGAAAGCAACCTCAAATGTTTGACAAGTGCTAAGATATCCCTTTGCCTTAGCTCTTTCTTCTAAAGTCCGGGCATCAACAACGATAGTATCAAGAACATCAATATTTGAGCCAAACATAGAAACAAAGCTCTTAAAGGATTTGTAGTGCGAACCCCAACGAGTATCGGCAGCTCTGGCAAGACCAAGTTCTTGATTCAAACCCCTATCAGTTTCAAGTTTACCCATGTCTAATGCCTCTTAAACTTTTTCTGCTTGAGGTTCTCGAAGATCATCCATACGTTTAAAAGAACCCCCCACTATATTCAATACATTAGAAACCAACAATACAAGTTCTCCTACTTCAAGACAATTTTTGGATACCGCAACAAGAGTCAATTGAAGTTGGTATGCAAAATAATAATAAATGGAATAAGCAGATTTACTTTCTTGTTGAATCAAAGTTTTGAGGCCACGTAAATCCCCTTGCATGTTGCTTGCTCCATCATAGCACTGTCCACGCACATAAGATAAACTCAAAGAATGTTGAGCAAGGTAATCAACAATTGCTTCCTTTAAACATAAAGCACTAGTATTACGAACATGAACGATCCTAATAAAATATTCCACCACAGATCCACATCTATTAACATATCGCAAGATAATAGCTAATTGCTCTTTGCGTGATGCATCACATGATTCATCAACTAGCAATGCGAAAAAAGTCTCCATTTAGATCGTCCATAATTGCTTTAACTGTTTCAATTTTACATGCAATGATAATGTCTTTTTGAATTTTATGAGAGGTCAACTGATCATTCTTTGGAGCCTTTTTCAACACAAGATCACGGATTTTTATCGCACCTCTCTACATACCATGAAAGAATCTCAAGAAAGTTACCCTTGTTTAATGATGATTCATCTTCACGATGTCTACGGAATGCCAATCCTTGATTCAATAGGAGTCTCACAACCTCAATTGAAGCCTTCAAGCGAATTTTGTATTCGAGCTTGGTTTGACTGGAATTCCTATCAAATGAAGTTTGAATTGAGTGTTTTTGTTTTAATAGATCTCCACATTTCCTTTTTGCATGATTACAAATAATGATCGACTTACCAACATGAATATCCAATCTCTTCTTTTTTGCCAACTCTAAGTTCCTAAACTTGAAAATACATCGCCTCCACCTTGATGAATGTCTTCATCTTGAAACAAGTAACAACACAAACAATAAGCTGTATCTTCTATCACATTGTACTCCAACCAATTACAATATTCATCAAACCATTTACGATTGAAACGGCGCTTTAAGCCCGAAAAATCTCTTTGAGGGAACTTATGATATCGGGGTTGGTAAAGACCTCTTCGGAAATATTCTCTTCTAATTTCATCACGCTCATTTGGATGATAATCTCTAATGAGTATTCTCTCCTTTGGATCAGTCGGTAAAGAATCAAGATCTATTCCTTGTCTTTGTCTTTTAGAGGATTGAGGTTGCTCTTCTAATTAGTTCAAATTTTGTTCCACGGGAGTAGCAATTAGAGAAGATGAACTTGGTTGTGGCAACTTGGAAGATACTGGAGGGTAAAATCTCTTCATTGTAACAGAAACTGGAATCTCTTCATTGTAACACAAACTGGACTACCAAATTAGAATTAGAAGAATAATTTTGTATATGTTTAACCTTAAATTTAAACTAGAAGAATTAATGTGGCCGAAGACAACCCAAGTAAAGATCACTCATCAGATTATAGAACTATTGCAATAAAACTTTCATTCATGGATAACAACAAAGGAGATCTTCCTAGATTTTGGAACTTCAGTCCTAGAAAATACTATTGCATGCTAAATATTATTTTATAAAGAGAAATCTGTTGATTCAACAACGAGCCAAGGAAAATGTCCTTGACCGCATCAAGGAAACATAACTGATTTCCATTCCATATCAAAAGTACACACACACCCAAAAATAATCATGTGTACGTATACGTATATTCAAACTTAAAAAGGATTTCTCACTCAAAACCAACAACAACAATCTGAGATTTTCCATAACTAAAGAGAAAAAGTTCTTAACTTCTCAATATAAGCAAGTTTATTACTCTCAATTTCTCACATTTCCCCATTTTCTATTAAGATTAAAAATTATATTAAAAGAAATATTTAACATGGTATATCTCAAATTGAAATTAAGTTCTCAGCCAAAACCCATTAAAACAATCTGAATTTTTTTCCAAAGCATAAATTACAAAAATCTGCAATATAAGCAAGTGAGAAACCTGATAGTGACAATTGACGGGCTGACGGCGAGAGACGGAGAGAGGCGACCCAACGAGAAGTGGCCGTGTCTTATGGCTAATGGAGGAGACGACTATGAAGCAATGTTCTTTGAAATTGAACTACAACAAAGAGAAGAAAGCACATAGAGGTGAAGGAAATTTATTGGGATTAAATCTTTATGCATAAGAGGAATAAATACTAGAAATTAGAAAACTAGAATTAGTTCTTATTGATCACCTAAACTTTTAGTTAGATACCAAGATGAAGACCTTTGTCTTTGAGGGAGATGACCTTCTCGGCAGGGGCTAACAGAGGAGGTGAGTGGTGACTGGAAACGATTCTCTTTGAAATTGACAGAGAGAGAGAGAGAGAGAGAGAGAGAGAGAGAGAGGCACCGAAGGGCTTGGGATTAGAGATTCTGATCATTTTCTGATTTAGGGAATTGGGCTCAGGACTATGTGAAAAATTTGAACCCTCTTTACCAGCAGGCTAGGTGATTTACTTGTTTGAAGCGGGTTCAAAATAATCTTTATATCATTACTTTTTCGAAGACTGAAAAAATATACCTATATACACAGTATTACTTTTCGACGAAGAGGGTTAATATGAACCCTCTTTACTCCATGTGGGTCGGCCCCTGGTTAAAACTATGTGAAGATGACTCCAGAATGGAGTTCTGTCAGTTTCGTTAGCTCCGTTGGGTGACTTTAGATTTAAGAGCGTGTCCGGACTGTGAATTTGAGGTCTGTAGCTGATTTAGGCTTGAAATGGCGAAAGTCAATTTTTTGGAGATTTTAACTGGAAGTGGACATTTTGATATCGGGGTTAGAATGTGATTCTGAGAGTTGGAACAACTCCGTTATGTTATTTGGGTCTTGCCTGCAAAATTTGACGTCATTCCGGGTTGGGTTGATAGGTTTCGACATGAGTTTTAGAAGTTGGAAGTTTTGGAAGTTCATAAGTTCGATTCGTAGTGCGATTTGTATTTTTGGCAATGTTTGATGTGATTTGAGACCTTGAGCGAGTCCGTGTTAGGTTATGAAACTTGTTAGTATGTTTGGACGGGGTCCCGGGGGCCTCGGGTGTGTTTCGGATGGGCTACAGATCATTTCCTTCTATTTTTGAACTGCTGTTTTCTGTCATCTGGTTTCCTTGATCGCGTTCGCGTCCCTTCCTTCGCGTTCGCGAAGAGTAATTTTGGAGGAGGAATTTATTGTTCTCCACATTCGCATGATCACGTTCGCGATCACGAAAGCCTGTCTTCTCCTTCTTCGCGTTCGCATCCGCTCCATCCCGTTCGCGTAGTAGAAACTAGGAGCTGGGAGCTAGTGACCATTTCCTCTACGCATTCGCATTTCCACGAACGCGTAAGCGTGCTTTCCCCTCCTTCGCGTTCGCGTGCCACTTCACGCGTTCGCGTAGCATTGTTCTTGGGCTATTATTTTCCTTCTTCGCGATCGCACAACACCAATTCCGGGCAGTAGCCATTTCCTCTTCGCGATCGCAGCTCCTCTTCCGTGATCGCGATGTACAAACACCTGGGCAGCAGAATATATTTTCCAAATCAAGGGTTAGGCTATTTTTATCAAATCTTGACTTGTGGAGCTCGGTTTTCAGTGATTCTTTGTGGTTTTTTCAAGCAAATGGATTGGGTAAGTGTTCTTCGCCTAGAATTTATTATATTCCATGATTCTATATTTATTTTTATCATTTAATTTGTGCTTTGAATTGAGGAAAATGGAGGTTTTTGAAGAAAATTTTCAAAATGAAAAATCATGATTTGAGGGACGAATTGGTATCGGAAATTGATAATTTTAGTATTGTTGAACTCATATCGGAATGGGTGTTCGGGTTTTGTGAAATTGGTCGGGTTCCGAGGTGCGGGCCCGGGGGTTGACTTTTGGACTAATTTTTAGATTTTGATAAAGATTGAGGATTTATGATCCGGAATAGTCTCTTATGAGTTTTATTTGTGCTTTGAAGTTATTTTGTTTAAATTTGAGCCGCCCAGAGGTCATTTCACCCGAGAGGTTCATTTTAGAGTATCAGTTTGTCTTCTTTGAGGTAAGTATCTTGCCTAACTTCGTGTGGGGGAATTACCCCTTAGGACTTGAGTCTTCTATGCTATTTATAGTCCGTGTACGTGAGGTGACGAGTACGTGCTCGGACTTATTTGTGGAAAATTGGCCTTTTAGGGTTCTTAGGTCCTTGTATACACTGATTATGCAGTTGTTATGTTATGAATACGTCTCTTAATCACTAGTTTCACCTCTACCCGTCTTAACTAGAATTAATTGCTTCATGATCCGTTCTTGATGCTTATTTGAGTCAGCTGTGCCTTAACTGAAATTGTTATCTCTTCTATTGCCATGTTATTTTTCCCCTAACTGCTCATCTTTATTTAAAGTTATAATTATCTCTTTTATAATTGTTTATCCTTAATTGAGGCTATGATTATCTTTCTGCTGCTTATCCCTAATTGAAATTATTGTATCTCTTTCTTAATTGCCAACCTTAAAAGAAGTTAGATATCCTATATTTTAGTTGACTTGTCCTTATTTGGAATTATTCGTCTTGTTTTAGCTCCCTCGTTGTCAAACTGTACATTGTTGACCGTTGTTACATAATATTTCCTTTCTTGTTGAGTTGTTCTTATTATGACTAGCATTCTCTATTGTTACTACTCCTTGTGAATTAGCTCCTCCGTTTTCTTGAGTTCTGGAATTTCTGAGTTGACTTATTTGTCGTACCATTGTATTATTGTCATTATTGCTGTTGTATTTATTGTGTTATTGTGATGCACGAGGTTTCTGCCGTGCGGTTGTTGTTATAGGGTTGAACGAGGTTTCTGCCATGCTATTACTACTATTGATATTTGCACATGCGGCGTGAAAGCCGGGCACTTAATTTATTATTGCACACGTGGCGAGACAAGGTGGGCTGTATCAGGGATTGATTTGTGATGATT